ATCTTATGCAGTAGCCTCTTGTGCAGCACCTTGTCGAAGGCCTTTTGGAAATCTAGGTACACCACATCCACTGGGTCCCCATTGTTCACCTCGCTCATAATGTCTTCATAGAATTCCAAAAGATTTGTCAAGCATGACCTGCCCTTCATGAACCCATGCTGCGTCTGCCCAACGGGACAATTTCTATCAAGATGCCTTGCTATTTCTTCCTTGATAATAGACTCAAGCATCTTCCCCACTACAGAGGTTAAGCTAACCGGTCTATAATTCCCCATCTTTTGTCTACTTCCCTTTTTAAACAGTGGCGTCACATTTGCTGTTTTTCCATCTGCTGGGACTGCCCCAGAGTCCAGCGAATTTTGGAAAATTACCGCCAGTGCACCTGCTATTTCTCCCGCCATCTCTTTTAGTACCCTGGGATGCATTCCATCAGGGCCAGTAGACTTATCAATCCTTAGCTCCATTAGCTTGCCCAACACTACCTCTTCCGGAATAATGATTGTTTCCAGGTCCTCACCTACCTTCGTCTCTTTGTCAATTACTGGCATGTTATTAGTGTCCTCCACTGTGAAGACCGATACAAAAAACCTCGGCCATTTCATCATATCCCATAACTAAATTCCCCTTCTCATGCTCTAAAGGGCCAACGTTTACTTTAGCCACTCTTTTTTGTTTTATATATTTATAGAAACAATATTTAGAGAAAGGCTGAACAGGCTGGGACTATTTTCCCTGGAGCAATGGAGGCTGAGGAGTGACCTTATAGAGGTTTATAAAATCATGAGGGGCATGGATAGGGTAAATAGACAAGATCTTTTCCCTGGAATCTGGGAATCCAAAACTAGAGGGCATGGGTTTGAGATGAGAGGGGAAAGATTTAAAAGGGATGAAAGGGACAACTTTTTCATGCAGAGGGTGGTGTGTGTATGAAACGAGCTGCCAGAGAAAGTGGTGGAGGTTGGTACAATTTCAACATTTAAAAGACATCCGGAGGGTTACATGAATATAAAGGGTTTAAAGGGATATGGGCTTAATGCTGGCAAATTGAACTAGATCTAGGATATTTGGCCAGGAAGGATGAGTTGGACCAATGTTTCCAGGCTGTACATTTCTAAGACGGTTTAAATATACCATATAATATGGTAATTAAACATTTCAAGATATTGTTTATATGTAATGTACTTTGAAATATCTCTGAAATCATGAGATGAAAATGTCCTCTATTCTATCACTGGCAGTTGGGCCTCATGAGAATTTTCTAAATTTTGAATTTCATGAGACAAGTAAGAAATTTCCTGTGTCTCTCAAGGTGAACAATTAGCTGCCTGTGGAAATCAAAATGCTGCAGCACATTCTTGCACACACGCAGACCCCTGGCCATGCAAACTCCAGTGCAATGGCCATCAGGTGCTGCCAGCAGCACTATTTCAACCCAGCAACTCTTGTTATTTTCTAATCAATCTATTCAGCAGGTGGACTCCTGGCTCAAAGGTAGGGACAGTACCACTGCATCACAAACGCCTTCCCATCAACCCGGAATCTGTGTTTGACTATTAAATTGGAGAACTGTTTCACTCGTGGGGCAGCTGTCTGTTTTGTTTCCCGTCACGCCCACCCTATAACAACGGCGTGCATTGTTATAGTGTCTTTTATAATGTGAAACATTCCAAGCATGTTGTCAAACAAAATTTGGCAGAGGGATTACCATGGCAGATTGCCTTTCTGAGTGTATCTTTACAGACGGAATTCCAGATTTTGACGAAAAGCCGAGTGATAGAAGTTGTCAAAATGCAAGATAGTTATATCAGTAAATCATTTGTCTTTAGAGTGTTCTATGACAAGTAGCAAAGAGAATTGGAGGTAGCGGGAGGAGTAGATACACTTGAGAGCAGATGGGGCGAAGGACATAAACTCACATATATCCTTTCCTTTGCAGAACTCCAATAATTAGCAGGAGACACAGTAGCAGGGATGAGTTCTGCTTTCACCTGTGTTGTTCGCGTCTTCATGAGCTGTGTCTGCACAGATGGTGACGGGGCGCAGTCCCGGTTTACAGAGCCACTCCTGTGGCTGGAGCCGGGCCTGGTCGCTGTGACCTGGTGCTCGGAGCTCACTGTAGCCCGGCTCTGCTCTGTTCTCTCGACATTCTTCTTGCTGTGCTCGCAGGTATGGGATACCTCTGTTGCAGACTTGGGACTTCTCTGACACGATCTTGCAGGTTCGCTGTGACGGAAATGGCAGTGAGGACAATCGGTGACTTTCCTGGATGACATAACTGCAGCTCTGAAACCTCGCTGACAATATTTACAGAAGCTGCCGTCTTTGTCACCATTTCAGAACAGGGAGAGAAAGCGAAACTCTCCGTTCCTGTTGCATAGCACAACTGTAGCTTAGCAACACATACCACTGCAAATGCAACGCCCAGAAATGCACACCATTCACTGGTTTACTTTATTGTCAGATTTCCATTATCGTCTAAAAAAAACTTCGCCAACAGGGCAAGATTTCGAACTAAGGCTAACGAAATTAGTACTGTCGGGCTGACTACTTGTTTTGGTGTGGGAGGGTACCTTGAATGTAGTTGTCAGAACTAACATGACCCACACAGTAATGCTACTTTATTTACAGAGGTTTGCTTGGTTTTTAAGGTTGATGAAGTTGACACAGGGTAATAGAGTTATAGATCGGAATCAGTCATAGCACAGAA